ATCCCCCCCCCCCCCGTGGGGGGGGGGGGGATTTCTGGGAGTTGAAGTCCACACGTCTTAGAGTTGCTAAGGTTGAGAAACACTGAGCTAAACAGTGATAGAGCTTGTGTGGATTCATTTATTTCTTGGAGGAAAATGGCTTATTTGCGATTATTTGGGCAGGAAGCAAGATATAGGTTTGAGGCTCCCAGAAACAGATGACCTGGGATGCCGCAGATGAATAAAAGGTAGCTGGCAGTAGAATATGGTGGGAGATACAGGTCGAGTAGAATTGTCTCATCCTGCTGTATCACTCAGAAATGTTTTATCAGGGACAGGAGTGTAACTGCCATCGCAGAGAGTGAAAGCACTGGATTAATAAGACTAAAAGAAGAATAAATGTTGAGGGTTGGAATTCTGTCTTTGAGGCAGGGGTGAATAAAATGCAACCCCACCCTCCTTTTTGCAACTCCTGGAGCTCCCCAAAATCACAAAGCTAAACACGGGTGGCAAGGCACTGAGTTCAGAGCAGTGTGATCCACTTAAAACTGTACTTAAAACATACACAGTAAAATGGGTATAGTAAGCTTCTGATTGGGTTAATCCACTGATTATAATGAAAAAAAGCTGACCCGATTCCAAATATTGCAAGAACAACAATTAAAAAAAACCTGAATTCCAGCCTTGTTCCCTCTGACGTCACTGAATGCTTCCTGCATCCCTCAGTCGCCAAAATATTTTTAAAAGTGCAGGCTGAATTAGTTCTCTTCCAGCTTAACCCTGCAGGGTGTTTTTATTCGATACCTATGCAAATACCTTAAGCTTCTCATTAGTTCTAACAGCCTGCTGCATTTCTTGCTGCAATTTCTCCAGCTCTGCCATGCGACTGTTGGCAAGTTCTTGATTTTCTTCCAGCTCTGCATTCAACATCTCAAACTGCAAAGCAAACCCAAATTAAGTCAGCAAAAACTCGCACAGGAAGTGTTGCGAGACCCAAGCCTTGCAAGCTGCAGTGCTACAATCTACTTTCCAGTCACGTTCTGCTGCTTACCTTCTGCATGCTAAGGGTGATCTGGCCACCCTGGAACCCACCAGAACTGCCTGATGCATAGTAACCTGAATTCAGCTGCCAAAGAAGAGTGAAAATTAGTAACCTCTAAAACAAAAGAGCAAATGTACTGAAACACATCTATATGATGGTGTGAACAAAAACTTTCACAAGGTGTCTGTCCTTGCATAACGCTGAAAGATTAATTTGGTGTGCACAGAACTGCATTTTTTGAAACAGTTATGTATTTAAACGGGCCTCTGCAAAGCTAGTCACAATGCTGGATTTCAATAGGCTTTGCCTGCAATAGTAGATTTATTTATTTTATTTATCAAATGTATATGCCATCAATGTTCAAGACTCACAGAGGCTTTCAACATACTAAGATATAATAAAAAATTCAATAACATTAATATATATTTGAATTATAATAATTCAAAAAAAATTAACAATTTATTATATTGTTAAAAACACAATACTTAACTGTACCAATAATTATGGCGTCTAGCCACAAAATATAGACATCCAAGTACTGATAGCTTGATTAAAAAGCACAAATCACTGTCAAATTCGTTTAATGCCCTCTATTTTAATGGTGGGGAGGAGAAAATAAGCCCTTGCCGTCATTACAGGGGGGAGAGAAGCAAAGCAGTCCTTGCCGTGTCAGGTTTATCTGACGCTCTTGTTAAAAAGTTTGATCTGAACAATCTGACCACCTTTCCAAAATCCAAGAAATATCATCTTTGGCTTTAAAAGGTTGTTGGATCCATGAGGTCAGTCACAACTAAGAGATCTGTCTCTTGTCTATTGAGTGAACAGATCCATCTTTCCCAAGGGGCAGGTGAGCTGATGTGGGGGAAAGAAGGAATTCATAATTGAAGATCAGAAATTATCTTGGCACTGAAGACTCAAGCCTTCTTTCACTTCACAGCATATATCACTTTCGCTGCTTGAAGTACATGGATTGATGTAGGACCAAAGTGGTAAATATGCTGTTTATCCAAACTCTGCTGAACTGCAATTGCCAGCGTTCCTCCTCACTAACCATGATGGCTGAGATGGCTGGGAGTCGCAGGTCAGCAAGATCTGAAGGGCTACAGCTTTCCAAAATGGCCTCCTGAAACTGGATAACCCACTAGACCTCCTCCTGCTCAGAGAAAAGCAGACAGCGTGACCAAGGCAGGGGCTACAAGACAAGCTTCTACTGCTTCACTTGCTGCCTGGGTGTCCTTCAGCATAGGGAACCAGAGAAGAAGAAGGTTTGGCCTTTAGGACTTTACATTCAGAAGAGCGCTCCCTCCCTTGCCCAGCAGTTACAATTCAGTGAAAACAGGCAGCCCTCCAGCGAGAAGAGAGGGGACTGCCCAAAGGCTGTTCTTGCCTGCTCCAACGCTTCTGCCAGGTGCTTGTTGATCTTCTGTTCCCGTTTGCGCAGCTTCTCGATGTCCCATTGCAGGTCCTCAATAGTTGTTTCCATTTCCAGCACTTTGGTCTCTGATGAAGTCACTTTGTCCTGCAGTTCTGTGTACTGAAAAAGAGGCAGATCTCAGAACAGCTCCTGCCCCAAGCCAGCAGCAGCCACAAGAAGCCCCTGAGGATGATGGGGCAGGGAACCTACCTCCAATGAAATTTTATGGTGTTTCTCCTGCAGCTGGGTGATTAGGTCCTGCAGATGCCGGTTCTCTCTCGTCAGTTCCTTGTTGAGGGCCTTCACAACTTCTTCCAGTTGGTCAAACTCCACTGCAGAATAAGACATCACCTCTCAGAACTTGAGCTTCCCAACTTTCTCTGCCACTTCCCCGGCTCCAAACTTTATTGGGGACCAATGGCTCTGAAGGCCATCTGCTGGGAGACTAGTGGCCTTCCTTGTGCAGTTGACTGGCCACTGTGAGAAGAGACTGCTGGATTAGATGAGCCAGGGATCTGATCTAGCAAGGCACTGCTTATGTTCTTACATACATATATTTTGCTTCCCCAGAAGACCCTTTTCCTGATGTTTCTTTGCTTTGAGCCACAAGCTTAAGCAACAAAACACCCAAGGTAAGAGCACTGTACTTGGATTGAGTTAAAAAAATCCTCTCTAGAGGCAAAATTATTTTCTTCAATCCTTACTATGGAAATACAGAACAGCCTCCCAGAATAACTGCAAATTGTCAGGCCACAGAAATGTTGTTAAAGTGTATTTTAAAAAGTGCCCCCCTCCCCGCAGAGATAAAGCATATCATCAGCCAGAGCACAAAGAACCTTCTGCTATGGGATCCTTCAAGTAGAATTGAAGATCTGACTGAAAAAAAAATTCTGAATTATTAAGTATTTAGGAAAAAATGTTTAATGCAGATTACAAAGTGCTATTTTTATAAGGCAGGGACACCCTAAAAGTTAGTAAGTAGAACTAGGTTATAGTCTGACACACAACACTATATGTGAATGTATCCATAACTATATGTTCACTTTTGTAACTCTATCAAGCCATCTCTTCTAACTGGGACCAGCACTCTCCCAGTTCTTTGAAAGTTTCCGCTTTTAGCATCCTCACACATCAGTCTGATGGAGTTGTCCATACAAATGTTTTCTGTCTCAACTAACTCTACATAGTAGCACATCTGCAAGATGTCTTCTGCTTGGAGAGGGGATATCAAAAATGCACACCTGAACCAATTCTCCTCCCCACAACCAAACCTGCAGTAAATTACCTACATGGAATGACAACATGCAATCCCACTTTCCCCTCATTTCCCTCCTTGAGCTTTCCAAAACCCGAGGCCCCAGATCCTCCACTTTGGGAGCAATTTTAGAGACAGAATGGGCAGCGAGAGGCACTCAAAAAGGTTCAAAGGTACCCCCAGCACAGTCTCACCCCGAGCATGGATCTTCTGGCAGAGCTCCTCTGTGCGCCGGTGGATCTTGTCAGAAACCTCCACAATGCGGGAGACAGCGGCTTTGGAGAACTCCATGCGTTCTTGGAGCTGCAGCTCGATTTCTTCATTGCTGCTGCTGGCCAAGGTGGCCAAGAAGGAAAGGGATGGCTCATTCAGCACAAGGTCCCCAGCCTTCCAGGGGGCAGGGGGCGTAACGGGGGACAGCACTGCCTCTGGATGGACCAAAAGAAAAGAAAAAGGTCAGTGTTGTGGGCAGGAGGGAGAACTCTTCATCCACCTCCACCATGTTTAGCATAGTGGCTAAGGTGCTAGGCTAAAATATGAGAGACTGTGAGTTCTAGTCCTCCCTTAAGCATGAAAGTCAGCTGGGTGACTCTGGGCCAGCTGTTCTCCCTCAGCCCAAAGGGTTGCTCACAGGGTCGTGGCTGCGGGGAAAACAAGAGCTGGGAGCATCAGATATGTACACTGCCTTGAGTTGACCAAAAATAAAGGCAACACAAAACATCTAATAAATAAATAAGCAACATGTTCTAGAATGCAGGAACCTGGCCTTACCTCTCCTTTCAGAACTCTCTAAGAGAACAGCTTCCAAATCTGATCCTGGGATTTCCAATTTGGGCTCCTCTGGGACCTGCCCACAGTCTCCATCGTAACGTCTTAGGAGGACCTGCACTGTTTCATCTAGCTGTAGGAAGGAAAAAAAAACCCTCTGGAACTGAAGAAACAGAAATCAGAATTTTGAGAGACATAAACAGAGCTGAGCATATAGGAGGAAGGCAGCTTCCAAGCACAGTACAAACTATGGCAGTATTCTCTACTCTGATTCTGCCAAACACAGAGAAAAGTTAAGAAACAACAATAGCTTTATTTTTTTGGGCCCCTAAAAATCCTGCTTAACCCTTTAAGGTTCCCCCAGTATATGTAAACTTATGGATTAGAAACTGAAAGGAAAAACAGGAGATCAGCCAGGAGGGCCTTCTGACCTGCTTCCAGTAGCGGTTGACAATCAAGAGGGTCGCATCATCAGTGGCCTGCCTCTTCTCCAGCTTCTCTATGCGCTCACGCAACTCATCCTCAAAGGCTTGCCGCTGCTCCAGCCTTTCTGCCAGCTTCTTATTCTTGAACTGAAGCACCTTGAGGTCCATCTCCTCCTGCAAAAGCAGCCACCCCAAGTCACATCCAAGAATGAAATCATCTCTAACAAACACTTCTACGTTCTAACAATCGAGCCCACCAATCTGTACCCCAATACCTGGTACTCTCCATAACAGCTGGAGTGTAATTCCCCTCAACCCCACCCAATGGCCTTGCCAGCAAGAGATTATGGTAGCTGCAGTCCAACAGATCCAGAGAGCATCAGACTGGGATGACTACAAAGCACATTATAACTATATCATGATCACACCCAAACCTTCAACACAACAAGAGTGAGGGATTACTGCCTGCATGTCTGCTTTTTCCTCACTTGCCTTCCCATCATATTAGTAATCTACTAATAGCAAAGTCCTGAATCAAAACCAATCTCTTTTGCTCCTTAAGAATAAATGTGATTGACAAAATAAGACCGGAACATACTTCAAATAGGATGAACCATTATCCACTCCTACCCAGTGATTCTTAAAAATGAACCTTTCACAGAAGCTACATAGGCATAAGACCTAAGACCTTACATAAGCCCTAAGGCAAGAGAGAGAGAGAGAGCAAGCGTGAGCAGGAAAATCAGGACTGGCTTTCAACAAGACCACTACAGCAATCTTTTAGAAGCCACTAAAGTAGATGGGCCTACATCCAGTTTTCAAGCAAAATTCTAAGCCTAAGACTTTTCTGGCCTTGCTCTATAATTTTTTTTTGGTTGTTTCCTGATATCTTGAATTCTCATTTTATGAATACAGGATCCATCTATATGTGCAAGTGTTCTCAACATTTGTTTCTAAGTGTTGGATTCTAAAATAAATTGCTACAGACTTTACTATATCACTCTGCATTTCATCCTCAAATCCCTCACCGTGGAAGAGATGCCCCCAAGCCGGATAGGCTCAATCAGAGTGGTGGTAGTCTTCTCCTCCCGGTTGGCTTTCTTCTCAGGAGGTCCTGCTCCTCCATCTCCAGCGGCCCGCTTGCTTCCAGCTCCTGACATGGTGACTTTCAGCAGGGGGCCCAAACACAGGAATCAGGTGGTTGGCCAAGGAGAATGCGCTTCAGCTAAAAAAGAAGGGAAAAAAGAAAAAGTTGCAGTTACTCCAAAGCAAGACAAAAGTGGTAGTTAATGCACAGAACGTCTAAACCACCAACTTGAACCTGGTCAGAAGAGAGACAAAAAAAAAAGAATGCTAGCACAGTTCAGAGGAGGGCAGGTGAGTGCAGAAAAAGAAGTACACAGACATCACAGGGCTTTTGACGGAGAATATGAACAAAAACAAGGAGCAACAGATTTTATTTTATTTTATTTTAAGGATTTATCTGGGCACCCAACTGGCAAAAGTGCAAATCTAGGCAGCGTACAACAACAAAAAAAGGAATTTCAAAATCTTTCATAACAAAACAACCCAAAAGCAACAACAACAAAAGCACACAGTCAGGGTCCACCAACATATTCCACACCTCCCAGGTTGAGGTCATCCCACATCCTGGCCCCAACAGCCAGGTCTTTGTGGCCTTCCTGAAGGCTACCAGGGTTGGGACCAGTCAAAGTTCATGGGGGAGATCATTCCGCCAATGCCAAACCAATACTGGGAAAGGAGCAGCCATTAAAAACTGCAAGCGAGGAAGAACAACAAGGGTTTCCCAGCACAGACCTGCTACTTCTCCATCACAAGGTTTCTAGAAGAACAGCCAGCGGGGTGGCTGGGTGCTATCAAGCACTCTAAGGACGGAGCACAGAATTGGGAATAGTGAAGTAGAGAAGGAGCAAGGGAAACTGGAAGAGGAAAAAGGGATGGGGGGACTTGGGTGGGAAAAAGGGAACAGAAACAGCCAAGGACTGTAAAACTCTGCCTTTTGGGGGTTGCTTAAGAAAAGGGAAAAAACCGACCGAATTTTGGTTGCCCTTTCTCATAAGTTTCCTATTTCCACCTAGAGTGACATTTCAGAGAATGCTTTCCCCAAAGAAGCCCTCGTCTCAACCACAAATTCCAGTATCAGTCACAACATGTATTTTAAAATACAGAATAGGAAGGAAAGGTCCGTTTGCAGAAAGGTAGGCAAGGTGGGAGACCTCAGTGAGGAGAGGGGGAAAGGGAGAGGGGCGAAAGGAAAGCCTCCAGTGAGGGAGAGGCTGCCCAACCACTCACCGGCCCAGACAGGTACCCCGTTCCTCCATAGCACCCCGCTCGTTGCGACGCTTCCGACGAGCAACGCCAGCGCGGCTACCGCGCATGCTCGCCCGAGCCTCTTCCCGGCGGCCCAACCCCCGCCTCCGCTCCCGACGGAACCAAACGTCCGCAGTGCGCAGACGCGGACGCTACCGCTAGGCAGGCGACCAATGTTCCTGCTCTCCGACGAATGTAGGGAAGTGGGCGGGATTATTGTTCTAGAATTGGTTGGGAGGGGGCGGGGCAAAAAGGCGATTGGGTAAAGCGCGGAAGAGCTTGGGTTCTGGTCCACTCTGATTGGAACCTACTCTCGCGAAAATAGCTTCACCGGAGCTACGCTAACGTATTGGCTCTTTCCTTCGATTAATAAGATTGCGATAGAGATAGAATAAATAGAGACAACTAACTGTTGGATTTTAGAATGAAAGGGGAAACTCCCCGTCTACGTGGCAATAAGACGATTTGACTATCAAGTGTTAGTGATTAATTCTATGAAGTATAACAAAGAGGTGGAATCTTCTCCTTGGTTTTTGTTGTTTTATTCTATTTTGTTATTTAATTCTATCTCTATTGAAAGTCTCTCGCCGCATTGAAAATGCCTGCGATTGGCGAAGCACTCTCTCATTCTTTCTACGTCCCGCCTCTTTAGTAGTATACCTCATTCTGATTGGACAAGTACCGACGGAATTCTGAGTGGCTGAAGCAGGGATTGCCATGGCAACGCGTGCTTCCTCCGCGCCTCTCAGCCCAACCAGCCGAAATGGGGCCGGAAAGCCTCCAGAAGGTAAAAGAGAAGAGAAATTAGTATTAAATTAATAGTTATAATTGCTACCTTGAATAAATTACTTCCACCGTGGGGGACGTGGTGGCATTTGAGGGACAAAAACGCAAATTCAGCAGATGCAGAAACGCTGGAAGAAGTTTCACCTGTTGAACGTCTGTCTGCTGTGCAACCGTTGAAGATTACATGGACCGTCAAGGAGGAGAAAAAGCATGTTTGGGAGGGAGCTAAAGCTAGAAATGGCAAAAATCGAGTGCAATTCCTTGGATGGTCTAGGTTTTGCCATACTTAAAATGAGATAACTGGGATTGAAGTTAATCAAAGCTGTTTTATAACTCTTGTCAGTAGGTCCCTCCTGTCTTTGACTAAATCTTATCCAATGAAGAAATCCTTACTTTTTACTAGTAGTGAAATTACCAGATATCATATGTAATTTGAAATAACAGTAATAAAATTAGTATAGTCCATTGCAGCAGGTAGCATGATTGATCCCTGAGTAGCCAGAAATCCTGCAAGTAATTGGACGCACCTCCTTCTCTTCATAGCATATCATACATTTTTGAACCATGGTTTGTTGAGTAAGCTATAATGCTACAACTCACACTGCTTCTTAGTAAATGCTTGAGATACATGTGCAAACAAAATTAATCACCACAAAGGTCAAGACACATAAAAGCTCATAGTTACTATTTAGAGTAGGCAATGCTTTATTGTAATTTATCGAATGAAACATGGTTTTATCGAATGAAAGTATCTAAAGCTGACCTTTTCCTTGCAGCCCCAGCCACATAAGGCAAAAATATGTATGTGGTGAGTAGCTTTTCATTCTTGAAATTCAGAAGATATCTTAAATTTCCTGCCTAAGAGCCAGTTGCATGTTGATCCATGGACAGATGTTCCTTTCGTTTCTGGCTGGCTGGGGTTCTAATACTTAAGCTACATCCTTCATCTAGTGTAAGCCTCATTAAACTCATTTTGGACCTCATTTTCAAGAAAACATGTACTGTATAGGATCACACGTTGCTATAGACAAAATTGTTTGTGTTACATTAGCAACCCGTAGTTATTCTCCTTACTTTTTCTTGTGTGTTTCAGGAAATATTTAGATGTTCACTCCATGGACCTCATCAATGATGCTGGAACAACTGATGAGCTGAAGAGGTGATGGGAGTTTTAAGATTATGAAACATTTAATGACTGGCTTTCTTAATTTTTTTCTAGAACAAAACATGAGAAGTGCACAGAATGAAGATCTGAATAAATCCATTGCCAGTATAGTGTTTAATAAAACCCTTTTTCATCTGTAGCACAACCCAAAAGTGTATTCATATACAATAAGATGCATAGTTGTTCTCTAGCATTAAGGATCTTGAAAAAAGGACTTATTTGAGAATCCCAACATAATGTAGTAAAAAAAACAGGTTTATCTCTCTCCCCTCCCCCACCCTCCCCTCTTTATTTAGTTTTCTCAGGTAACAGCAATAGCCTTTGCGGTTGCAGCTATTAAGAAAAACTGTCCTGATAATTAAAGCAATAGACAGCAGAACCCAATCCCTCCAGGATCCACACCTTGTGAGTTTTCTCCACAATATAATTCATTTTAGGCAGGTGTGGGAAACCATTGGCCTTTCAGATGTTCCTGAATCACAATTCACTGAAACCTAGCCATTGTGGCCCAAGGTTGACGATGCTGAAAGTTCTAGTTTAGCAGCAGCTGGAGGAACACAGGTGTTTTCTTCTCCCTGTGATTATTTGGGAAAGATCCAACTATTTCAGGATCTAGGATATATTAATGAGAGATCTATTGGCTTACTAATATTATTGATTTTTATTTTTGGCCATTCAATTCTAGTGACTATAAAGCTTCAAAATACAGATCTGTATTCATTGTAAGTCCTTGCCTGTAGCAATAACATTGTATTCATTCACTGCAACGAATTACAGGGTTCCTCTAGCACATTAATATATTTATTGTGGCAAAACCATTCCTAGGCTGCAACTTGCTTCATCAGATGTATGAAACAGATGTGCAGATGTGCCTCTTGCAGCAGAAAAGCAAAATTTCGTTTGCCAGATAAATAATAATATGCTACAAAACCAAATTAAAAAAGAGTTGCACTTTTATTTGAGGAATAAACCCTACTGAATAAACATGCAAAGGGTCAGTCTATACAAATCAAAAACATCCAGAATGCAGAAAGAAAGGAGGGTACTACAACAGTATTTGACTGTTATCAGTATTTGATTAATCTGTATATAAAAGTTATGCCCAAGAGTAGCACTATGCGCAGTGGTGCATTTGCGTGTAGCTAGACCTCAGGAATCAGACTGGCAGTGAAATCCGTATCTGAAATCTTCTTGTTGTTGTTGTTCAGTCGTTAAGTCGTGTCCGACTCTTCGTGACCCCATGAACCATATTGCGCCAGGCCTTCCTGTCCTTCACTGCCTCCCTGAGTTTGCTCAGTTTCATGCTCATTGCTTCAGTGATGCTATCTAACCATCTCATCCTCTGCCGTCCTCTTCTCCTTTTGCCTTCAATCTTTCCCAGCATCAGGGTCTTCTCCAAAGAGATCTCTCTTCGCATTAGGTGACCAAAATATCTGAGCTTGAGCTTCATTATCGATCCTTCCAATGAGCAATCAGGGTTGATTTCCTTTAAGATTGACTGGTTTGACCTCCTAGCAGTCCAGGGGACTCTCAAGAGTCTTCTCCAGCACCACAGTTCAAAGGCATCAATTCTTCGGCGCTCGGCCTTTTTTATGGTCCAGCTCTCACAGCCATACATTACTACTGGAAAAACCATAGCTTTGACTATGCGGATCTTTGTCGGCAAGGTGACGTCTCTGCTTTTTAATATGCTATCTAGGCTTGCCATAGCTTTCCTCCCAAGGAGCAAGCGTCTTTTACTTGCTATTGATGGCGCACAATCTTTATATTGCAGTGGTTTGTGTAATGTAACAATAGGGGGTTAACTGGACATTTCCTTATTAGGAAGTGGGTTAGGAAATGAAAAGGAGGAGGATTAAGACAAAACAGGCAGTTTAGAGTTGGGCAGACTAAAAAGAGGGAAAGTAAAGAACTGTGATAATTATTCTCGAATTGATCGTTGTTATCTGTTCTTACTATGTTATTGTTAAATGATGTTTTAATTGTTCATGATCAGATGTCTTCTGAGTAAACAGAATACCCCATCCTCACCTTGAAATGCTATACTACCAGAAAAAAAAAATCGGTAACGGAAGAGATAACCACAGTATAAAAACTGTACATTTATTTATTTATTTATTTATTTATTTAATATTTCGAATTTGGTCACCGCCCATCTCACTTGGAAGTGACTCTGGGCGGTTTACAGTAAAAACAAAAAATAAATATTAATAAGTTAATTTATCACTTTGGAGTGGTGGCAGTGAGATTTTAAACTGGGTTCAATTATCCCCAGAAGAAACAGAGAAGAAATTATGCCAGTTCTGGGCCCAATAAACCCACCAGTTTTGCCACAGATGTACAACATTTTTAAAAAGGCTCTTCTAAAGTAATGGAAATGGCTAATAAATGGTTGTGAATGTTCAAGCTATCACATTTCCCCCAATTTCCTCTAATTTCTGCAGGCTCCTCTCTGAGCTCTTTGATCTGAAGGATTTTGAATCAAATCCACGCTCAGCTATCTTGTTAGATTTGTATTTCTACACCATCCAGTTCAGCCAGGAGCAGGGCTTCAACCAGGAGCAGACCTCTGCTTTCTTCTCAATTGTGAAGGATGTGCATGAGGCCTGTGTGGGTAAGGAACCTGATGTTGAGAAAGACAGAAAAAATGAAAGATTGTAAGAGCAGAGAAACATGGGGGAAGAAGATGGAAACCTTATTTATTTACTTGCATATTTATTTACTTGGTTTTTTAATAGTGCAACAGGGTGTAGGAGATACATGGGAGAAAGTAACAGTTGTTCCAAATGTCCAAGTCACAGTAAGCTTGGCCTCTGTGTTCCATGTGCAATGGCCTGGCCCTGTTTGTCTGTCACTTATGCTGGCTATTGTACCACCAGTCCCATGTGCTAGCTTGCCTTTGATGTTATGTCTGGGCAGCATCATCAGGAAATGTCTTGCATGAGTAATAGCAGCTAGCAATAGAAGAGGAAGGAAAAAGGGCCCCACGAGAGTCAGTGGAATGGAGGAACGGGGCTGCAGGGTGAGGGCTTGAACCGAAAAGAAGGACATGGAAGAAAGGAAAGAAGCTAAAGTGGATCTTCTACTTATTCCTACCGTGTTGTTTTTGTGTAGAAACACCGCTCCCCAATGTGGAGGAATGCTATAACTATTTCTCCGAACTCGTGTTCTGCCACTCCATTCGGGTGAGTGCATGAATGCCAGGCAGGCCAAAAGTGGCTTCATGTTGTTAGAGTTGTCTGTTGCCTTATCCCCCTCATTTATTTTGAATGCATTTCCCCTGCAGGAGAACCTTCCTCCCCTTCTGTCTCTTTGCAGGGGTTCTACTGCTGTCTTCCTTCTCTCTCTCTTTCTCAGAGACCCCCCTTCAGCATTGATCTCTTCAATCAGGACCAGCTGGTGCTCCTAACCGACTATATGATTAACACTTACTTCCGCCACTACAAACTTTACAAGTACGCTTTCACCCCACAGGTAAGGCTGACTTCCTTCAGCCCAGGCAGTGCTAGGCGAGGGTCGGTGCTCTCTTGCCATTTCCCTCCAATGGCAAGAAGAGCATCTCCTCTGGAATATGCCCCAATTACAAAATGTGACCTCTGACACCGTTTGGCTGCTGCTGAGAATTTTATGGTCGAGTGATGGAGCAGCACCTTTATGAATGGAGCACCAAGCATCCCAACCACAGAGAGTTTTAAGATGGTGGAATCCAAGTGTTAGCTGTCACAACCCCGATTCTTCTCTAAATCAATAGGTACGGCTGGACATCTCATTCACCTATACTGGGTTGCCTGAACCAGAGCCTGAAGGTGAGTGTGGAGGTGTGCTGGGATCCTTTCCCAACTCACTTCTGAGGTCTACCCTGATCCACTCTTTTTAGTTAGGAGGATGAAAAAAGAAACAGGCCAGGCTGCCTTTGTCTGGGAAACCATCTTCCTAAGTAAAACAGAGTTAAAGCAGTTGCTACTTGAAATTAGATTCCTAAAATAAGGCTTCAGATAGCTTTACCCCAGTCTGATGTCCTCCAGATGTGGATGGCTTACCAATCATTCCCAGTCAACCCAGCTACATTATGCAAAGACAACAGTGGGGAAGATTGATAAGGTAATAATACCCCCCTGTCAGGTGGGTTCTGAAGGCATACAAAGTTGCGTGATGGGGCTTAGGGCATTGGCCAATCTGGATGTGAGTTCTTCCTGAAAGAGGCTTTCAGATAGATGTGGTCTCTTTCTCAGCTCCACCAATTTGAGATTCGTTCACTGGGGAGTGAACCTTGGACCTTTGGTGTGCTGGGTTTGGGCTGGGGCCTTTCTCCCTTTTGAGGCAAGATTTGCAGGACTCCAAAGGGGATAAAACTTCCTAATGCCATCTTACCTAAGATGAGTTAACTTACATAAACCGATCATGTAAAATAATGGGATTAAAAATAAAGAGAGCATTATCTGATCCCTTTCCTTCCAGGGCTGCCAAAATATTTAGCATCTCTCTCTCTCTTTTCTACAGAAGCTACAGCTGAGAGTACAGAAACAGCACTGTCCCCTTTGCAAGAGGAATTGGAGGAAGCCGTTGCCCCTGAAGAAAGTAAGTGGGGGGCTCCAGAAGCACAGAGTTTGGAGTTGGGATGGTGTAGGGGTTAAGGAGGTGAGCTAAGCAATCCACAGCTCCTTAAATTGCCCCCTGGCCATTAATAGCCACTCTCTTTTAGCCTTTGGGGGGGGGGGGGATAATAGTTCTCTATCTTACAGAACCTTTGTTGCTATTATGGAGATGGTATATGGGAAGAGGTCTAAATACTTTAGGGCTTTTTAAATGCTAACTGATGCATGATTTTTGGCAGTGTGGGACCTGAAGCCAGAGTGGCTGATGGCAGTGCTTCTCTTGGGCTACTTGCTAGAATTACAGTTCACTCTGCCTCACCCACTTCTAGGTCCCACAGCTACGCTGCGTGACTTCATTGTATCTCAACTCAACCAGGAGTTATCCCAACTGCGCCTTTCCATCGATCAGCGTCTAAAAGTAACAGAGGACCAGTTTAATGCCAAGCTGACCCAGCTGGAGAAAGGTTCTGGTGCCAGCAAGGGGAGTGCCAAGGGCAAGAAGAAGTGACCAGACTAGAAAAGTTGGGGTGCAAGAGGACCATTTCCTGTCCCAGGGTTGTTTCTGTGTTTCCAGGGCTTCTGCAGCAAGATAATAAAGGGCCACAGAAAGGCCAAGAGAGCGGACAGAGAATGTCAGTTAAAATATGAGGAGCAGATGGATTTCTAAAAGGCTTTTGAAAGTGTGATATAGTTTACAGGAAATCTCTGTTGAGATAGTAAGGTCATATACTAGTAGCAGGAACTGCTGCATTCCTTGTGTACATGATGTTATGATATTAAAGCGCGTTTAAATTTTTCCCATTGTTCATTCTTTTTCCCAGGTCAAAAGTATGCAGCATTATTAAGGCCAAGAACCAATCTGAGCCTCTGAAGGGGTTGCTAAAGAAGATAGGTCTAAAAGAAAGACCACTCTGGGGAAAAAAATTAAAATCAATTAGGATTTAATTGAAACTAAATTAATCAAGTAATTTAATATGATTACTTCCCATATTTAATTTTTTTCTTCTACCACATTGAACATTAGAATAAAAATTAGCCAGTTTGGTGCAGTGGTGTAAGGTGCTGGACTGGAAACCAGGAGACCTTGAGTTCTAGTTTTCTTTCAGGCAGGGAAGCTGGCTGGGTGACTTTGGACCAGTCATTCCCTCTTAGCCCAACCCACCTCACAGGGTTGGTCTTGTGGGGAAAATAGGAGGTGAGAGCGTTATGTTAACACCATCTTGAGTTGCAGAAGATAAAGGCAGGATATAAGTAAATACATTCAAGTTTTGGGAAGATTCTGGGGAGCCTGTTGCATTTTCCAAAGGATGCAAAGCATGATGTAGCATGGCTGGGCAGAGAGAGATCTTTCCTTCTCCAGAAGCTGTGCCTGGAATCTGTCTGTGCCAGTTAGACTGTGATGAACTTGGTATGGTTCCTTTCTGCAGACTTTCTCCTCAGCCCAGCCCAGTTCCATCAGGGGCCAACCCTGTCATTGAGGACTGAACATCCTTCCTGGGACATGCCTAATTCCAGCTGAATTGTTGCCTCCACTTTGGGCAGTGCTTGGGAATTTCTGGGACTTGGGGCAGAAGATGGCAGTGGAAATGAGTATGTCTGGCAGTGCCCGTTTCAGCAGAAATTAGATGGAGCCCTCTTCCAAGTCTTGGAATGAAAAGGAAGCCCAAGTCAGTAGACAGTTGTGGTCTCATTTCACTTTTATTATAGTTTGGACAATCATAGGGTGGGGGATGACAAAAAACACAAAAACAAGAAGCATTTCAACCCAAGGGCCACGTCCACTACCTGACTGCAGCAAAAAGGAGATATGCAAGACCTGATCCCACACCTGCTCTCCAGTACTGACCAAATCCAAACACACTGATTGTTCCCTCAGCAATGGGAAAAGGGGCTGAACTGAAGGATGAGATGCCTGGACTGTCCTTAGCGTCCAAAGGGCTACGTCAGTGGCTCCAGGTCCTGCAGCAGAAGCAAGATGCTCTCCCCTGACCTTCCCTTTGTACCAACACCATTGGTGTAACATGGTGCCCTACCCAATTCTAGAGCCCCCTTCCAGGTATAATCAGGGAATCTTGTCCCATCAGTCAAAAATTCAAGGTTCCCAAAGTTCCTGTTCCCTAGAAAGTAAGTCACTTCCATGCATGGGCAGTCCAAAGGAGGATTCTACAATTTCCTGTTCTCCCCCAATGGGGTGAGGATGTGGTTCAGTTCTCTGTACATCCCTGCCCCCTTACATCACTCTTCCAGGGATCATCACCCTGCAGCTTCACAGGGAATGGAAGGAATCTCTCTAGTTGGGAGGGTCCTCCACAGCCGATGGCGAGGCCTCCTCTCCCTCTGTGCCAAGCAAGACCAGCTGGATGGCCTTTGGGACATTTTCAAAGAGGGCAGCACGGTTCTGTTGCTCGCCCTTCTTGACCCAGTGCCCGTAGATTCGGAAGGCACAAGCATCGATCAACTTGCGCACCCCCTTGAGTGCATAGGGGTCACACAGCAGCAGCTCCTTTGTGACCGGGCGCACCCGTCGATAGTTGGAGTAGATGCGGATGGAAGCCCGCACGGTCCATGCAATTACCTGCCATGCAAAGAGGAAGAAATAGCATCAGGCCCCAAGGGCTGCCGAAATGCAGCCACAAGGTGGAGAGAAAAAGGCAAGAAAGTTCATAAACAACTCTGGGGAGAAGTTGTGGCAAATTGGAGTTTTCTTTCAGTGGAACATTTCAAGTGGGGCTGTTTTGTTCTGAACTCAGAAACAGAACATGTTTCTTGTTACTTCTTTATCCCGATAAAATAGTCTCGCCCACAGGCTTACCCTCAAAATATCACTGTATGGATTAGCACTGAAATCCAGCACTCCTTTTCCAAAGTGACTGGGTAGATTCCTCTAGGGAACCACTTCAAGGGGAAGAAAACAACCAGCTGCCTTCTGCCAAGGCTACCCACCCACTGGTGTTTGCTGCCATAAAAAGATGGTGATCACCATCCTGCTGAGCAGCCACACAGAGACACCTTCCCAACTTTGTGCAGGCCTGTTAAAAGCCACTTAAGTTGGGAAAAGCAGAAGCAACATTCATTCCCTCTCCTATAAACTTCAGTTATGAGGAACAGTGGAAGGCCTGCAGTTTTAACAGTGGAAGTTAGCAAGATGTGTGTGGGTTTTTTTTAATGTTAAAGAGATCTTCAACTTGGAAAGAGGAATGTAGTCAATATATTTAAAAATATTCCTGCCTCCTAATCACTCCTAAACAACCCCAGGTTTTACCCTACAGCTGCATAAACGTGCAACTCAAGTAGCAGTGGGAATAAAGCGTTTTTTTTAATGTTAAAGAGATCTTCAACTTGGAAAGAGGAATGTAGTCAATATATTTAAAAATATTCCTGCCTCCTAATCACTCCTAAACAACCCCAGGTTTTACCCTACAGCTGCATAAACGTGCAACTCAAGAAGCAGTGGGAATAAAGCCGGGCAGAATTGGCCTATATTGATCTTGGATTGCACCTGCAGCAACACAGCCAAGCATTATCTTAGAAGAGGCATCTCCTTCCCTGAGGCCACAAAAGAGGAAGAGGGACAGACAGGCTGTTGATCCACCAAGGTCCGCACTGTCGATGCTGACTAGCAGCAGTGCTTCAGGGTATCTGTAGAGCAGTGTTTCTCAACCTTGGCAACTTTAAGACAGGTGAACTTCAACTCCCAGAATTCTCCAGTCAGCTATGCTGGTTGAGAATTCTGGGAGTTGAAGTCTACCCATCTTAAAGTTGCCAGGGTTGAGAAACACTGCCATAGAGGCTTCACTCTAGAGCAGTGTTTCTCACCCTCAGTTTAAGATGTATGGACTTCAACTCCCAGAATTCCCCAGCCAGGATAACTGAAGTTGAGAAATGCCAAGTGTTGGACCTGGAACTTTCTGCATCCAAAGCATGTACTTTTAACATTCTTTTTTCACCAAATAAACAAGAAAGTCTGGAATAATATTTTAACCAGAACCTATACACAGATTAACCAGGGAGACCATTTTCTCCTACAAGCAGAAACACTAGAAACAGTGATTCTCAAAAGGAGCCATGTTTTGCTTTGACTTTGACCCAAAACTCTTTTATTTTGAGCCTGGAACACTCGAAACATCTGCTTTGCAGTCAAGATGTTACATATACCCCTGACGTATATCCCGTTGGGGATGAAGAATGGAATAAAAATGGCTTAAATGAATACATAAAATCACTTATTTTTATTTATTCATAATTAAATCAATAAATAAAAATATGCCACTTACTCTGAATTTGTGGAAGGGACTGAAATGTCGCTGCTCCCTTCCGTAGCGCTGGAAGAAGGGGTGCTGTAGCGCCTGCTCAGCCGTCAACCTTTCGACGGGATCTACCTGCAGCAGTCGGGAGATCTGCAAAAAATAAAAAGGGGGGGTGTCCCAAGAGGCATTCTGGGAAGAGGGGCCTGCCGATGGATCCTGACATGGAAAGGGAAGAATTCAGGGGCAATATGATGGTTTAAACATATTTGATTTTTTTTTTCCTGTTCTTCATGTCAGGCTAGGCAGGCCAGCTTTTCCTGCTCAAAAACACTGGCCAATGATTCAAAGTGGGCCAAGGTGTTTTCTTCCCCCCATACAGTTTTGTATTTTTTTTTCCTTCTTCTTAAAATTAGCATTGTCCGATTTTAGTTTCAGGGTTTCCCGCCTCCAAACAGTGGGAAGCTCTATTGCCAGTGCTTAGCAATTGTGGTCAGGAAGGGCTACAAGAGCCACAGAAATGAGAGTTTTGGAAACAAGGTACCCTCCAGTTTAACAAGCTCCAACCAGCGAGAGCTGCCATCTTAATTTCTCTCCATCCTTACAGGGTTGTTGGGTGGCTAAGGTTAGATTGAGAATGACTGGAAGTCCCCAAGTAAATTTTATTAAAACTCAAGGAGAAACTGGAATCCAAATGACCCCAGTCCTCAGTCTGCCACTTTGGCAACACAGCCCACCAGCCTCATTGCTAGCTCTGTGCCTTGGCTCAGAGAGATTCTTGGTTTCTCTGCAGCCCCCTCACCGACTGCCACCTGGTGTTGGTTCTGTGGTCAGATCTTCACATTTCAGGCAGACAGAAGAAGGAGAAGCTTTGAAGGCGCAGGACTGGCTTTGCCACCCTGAGACCAGCTCTTGTGGGTCCACCCCCTCCTATCCCTCCCAGATTCACCATTCCACCCTCCACATACTTCGGTGCCCGGCTAGAGAAAGAAGAATGGCTGCCAGCAGCAGGAGGGAGGCCTCCATGCTCCATCAATCCACAAAGCAAATCTATGTGAAATGGACTTAATTTGCATAAAGCTCAGCTCTGTGAGGATGGTCCTGAGACCCCCTTCTTCTACAGGGCAGTGGGAAAGGCACACAAACTCTTTCTGAATGAGTGGCAACAATGTGGCTGCTGTCTCCTTACCAAATCCTTGACTGTGTCAGATCGGTCATCCCACTCTGGAGAACCAAACTGGTACTGGCCTTCCATGATCATCCGAAGCATTAACATCTGTTTGCGGTGCCAGAAAGGGGGAGAGCCAGCCAGGAGGGTGAAGAAGATGACGCCACAGGCCCAGCTGCAGGGCAAGAAGGAGGTCATTTTCCCATGCCCCACCACACCTGGGCTGGCAGATGATAGCAGCCGTGGTCCAGGATCTCTGGATCACAGCAGATTCAGGAAGATTCCATGTCCCCACCCCATTCCCTAATTATAACTTACAGGTCCACTTCCTTCCCATAACCAGGATGAATCTCATCCATAGAACATTTCAGGATCTCTGGTGCCAGATAGCCTGGGGTGCCACATAACTCTGCAGGGAACAGTCACAGATTCAAAGAACTTCAGAGAAATACAAACTGGGAGAACCTTTCAGGACAAGAAAGGCAGCTGTATAGGCTACAGGAAGAGCCTTTTCTCCACCCCACAGAAGCAATGAGCTGAACTTTCCCACCGGCCCCTATGGTTTGACAGAGGGCTGCTCCATAGGGCAGAGCAAATGGAATGAGCCTGCCTCTACTGTCTCCCCCTCCCCAAAGATAACACTACTGGACTGGACCCCATCCCACCTCGTAGTTTCTCCCCTGGCTCCAGATGGCAGGAGAAACCAAAATCAGAGAGTTTGATGCTGAGATCATCGTTCATGAGAATGTTCTCTGGTTTCAGGTCTCGATGGATGATGTTGTTCGCATGAAGGTAGCTCACGGCCTCCAAGAGGGCTCGCATGATGCACCTGAGAGAAGGCAGAGGGAACCCCAGTTGCTGCCCTGGCTGTGCCTTAGGGCCCTCCAGAAAATAACATGGAGAAGGGCTCACTAAATTATGGGATAGGGACTTCCATTTCTCCAGCCCCAGCAGAAGACCTTCTGTTTTACCTGGTCTCCTTTTCACCGAGGGTTACCTTCTCTGTAAGGTAGTCAAAAAGCTCACCACGTCTCATCCTGCAGGGAAAACATAAACTGGAGGTAATTGACATACGGTAGGGATGGCACAGAAAAGAAAATTGCAGCTCCCACCTCCCTCTCAACCCTTTAGGGATGAAAGAGCGTGCGAAGTGGAACCCTTGGCTGGCTGGCTTTCTTGCAGCAGGGGGATTCTGATGACGTGTATAAAGTGGGGAGAAACAATCCGGGCACAGCAGCAAACATCTAGAAGGAGATCAGGCGGCAAAGCAACTTCAGCTCAACTTATAAAGCAGGTCATGCTGGCTGAGGATTATGGGAGCTGATGTTCAACACATCTGGAAGGCCACAGGCTGAGAAAAGCAGATATAGAGTCTGGAAGCAGAATCTGACCACTTCTGTTACCCTCTCTCATAATTACAATTGAATAAATAAAGACATGTGAATTTATTTTTCCACCCAACTTCCAGCTTTCCCTTCTTGGAGTAGTTTTAAACGTTACTTCAACTCTAACTCATCCGTACTGGAAGAAGCAGGGGCCCTCTAACACCCAAACACAAGAGCACCGTATGAATTCCTGTTGGAAAGCCCATATTTCACATAGACATTTTCCAGAGCAAGAAGACTAGGCTGAATCAACCCCTTGATCCCACCCGTTTCCGAAGGCTTGTTACTTACAAATCAAAGACTAGGAACATGAAGGTGGATGACTCATAGGAATCGATAAGAGTAACTGGAGAAAAAGAAGAATCGTGCAGTTATATAATAATTGCTTCAGTACCTATAAAATGGCACTTGTGCAGGATCCCACGGCAGAATATGAATACCGCCACCTGCTGTACCCCTCCCAAAAAGAGATGCCCAGTGAGCAACAGCAGCACTGAGACCAGCCCCCCTTTTGATCAGTGCTTATCACTGTGTTTCTTTATCTGCCAAATTTAGATCCAGACTTTCCCCTCCAACGGTGCTCAGTTAATAAGGTTATAAAGCAGCTCTGAAGCACAATCTTTTCAAAAAGAAAGCCTTATATATGGAATCAGTGAAACAACCTGTTAAAACCACTACGATCTGCTTGTAGAATACCACCGTTGCACTGACAGTGAGAGAGGAGTCGGCAACGTGTTGATACAGTACAGACCACAGAACTGATTTAGGATTGCGTAGGATCAGACTGCTGAGTAATTGTGATTTTGGAAACAGCAAGAAACGAGCACAAAGACAGCAGTGAGCTACGTAGTGGGGGGTGGGGGAGGTTTGGGGTG